CACACAGCAAAAAACAGTTTCTCTGAAGCTGTTCTTAAAGCTATCTGTAACAGGTGAGATCATGATTATTTATAACCTTTCAGCATTTTTAAATAATTAACACTGTTTTCAGAGACAATAAGCCACCAAAAAGGGAAATACATTTTTTTTCCCATTCATAATAAAACCACCTTTGCAGAGCCTGATTTCACGCTTTAAATGTGTACATTTAACTAGAGATGTTAGGTAATTTGATTTTATCCCATATTACCTTAAAGGACGACACACCCTTTGATAGAGAGAGAGAGTAAATTGATTATTTGTAATGTCCATGTGTGTGTGGCTCAACCAGCCCCCACTCTGCTTCAGCCTCAAAGCTTTCTCCTCACCTGCTCTGTATACCTGCATTCTCCAATTATCTGGTGGATAATATTTAACCTCCATAACCCTGGAACCTGAAATAAACACACATGACAACAAGGAAGACATTTTACACTGAATTAGCCAAATGAGGGGGAGATCACCATGACACATAACTCTCTCCAGAGCTAGCTGCCAGGCGACTCCCCCAGCCCCCAGAGTCTTCAGTGGTTTTATTCACCAAATGGATGGGGGAGAAGGCGGGGCCTTCTCAAGTTACAGAGGTACAGAGTTGTCTCGGTTAACATCCTTGCTCAACCTTTTTATGAACAGCCAACACAGAGATTCATGATGTGTAATGGGCATCTTTTAGGTCTCAAAAAGGTACATTTATAAAAATACCCAACAAGAGACAAACCTGGAGGATGTGTGATGTTTAAACTGATGCACATTTTAAACAAGCAACTACCCAGATAGAAAAAAAATTCAAGATCTGTAGCAGCCTTCCCCCACATAAACAAAAGTTTTTGCGGCTTCTAGCTTTCAAAGCTAAAAATAACACCAGTGTTTGGAACACAAGATAAATCATCCTGGGATTAATTTCAGTAAAAGCCCTGAATGCCTTCCAGCTGGAGAGAAACAAACAACTTGCATCATGATGCTGTGATTTATGTCCAGAACTATTTAGAGATCGGCGGTCGTAGTAGTTCATGAGGCAGGATGGCAGCTTTATGGACAGACTGGCAGGATTCAGAGACATGAGATCAGCTACCTGCTCTGCTGCAACCATCTATCCATCACCAACAGTCGACCGGGCCTGAAGGACATAAGGATGCAGCACCGAGAGGCAAGAGTCTGCCATCGGTGGAGGCGGAGTGAAGGAGATAAGAAGTGATTTTATTGAATTTGCACAGCTGGGGTCCTCTTTATTCTCAGTTTTGCCATGTGCTGGTGTGGGTTAGATTCCCAGTGATGATGGCAGTAATTTATTCAGCCAGCTGAAGCAGGTTTCATGTTTTTACATTTTAGTTTTATTGATTATTTTCTGCAAAATATTTTGTGTCTCTAAAGATTTTTGACTTAGATCATTTCCAAGCAGCATTTTAGTTGATTTACTCAGCTCACCATGGATGCAGTTTGGGGGTGGGGGGTGGGGGTATGTCCCACTTTTTCCAAGGTCACTTTTTGTTCCCTACACTTTGTACCATTAAAAAACAATATTACTCTATATTAAACAGACACTGGTTGAGCACTAGGACCAAGCGGAAAACAACCGCTTGTGTTGAAGCCCGTTTCCCATTAGAACCGTCCATAAACTCTCATCTATTGGCTCTGCTGATACTTGCTAATGTGTGATTGGCCACCTGTGTACTTGACAGTTCTTCATTCCTGACATTGCATAAAAGAGCCCGACACTCCACCCCCGTCCTCATGCCGGTTGTGTCCCCTCCACTTCTTAAGTCAAAACTACGTCCATGCAGCTCACCTCACATGGACTCACACTGGCTAAATAAACAAAGAAAGCAAAAAACACAGATTAGTTCTTATATTTTAAACTGTTAATTTAAAACGGTTTGAAAACATCGTACTGGCAAGAGCAGCTAAAAAGAAGAGAGAAGAAGAAAATATCTTTTCTATTGCGCCTCTCAATATAAAAAATCACAAAGAAACCGCTGAGACCGGGATGGAAACCTGCGCAAAACTACATGCCGGTTTAACACGTACTACCAAGTCTGTTACGACACTTGTCTCCTAGCCCACACTTCCTAAGCTGGTCAGGGGGGGAACAGGTTTCAGACTATAGACTAGCTTCTAAGGGAGGAGCAGGAAGATGGAGTGACGTACAACTTATACATTAGGCAGTTTCTGGAATTTCAAAATAAAATTCAAAATCTGCAGCTGAAACAGGAAAATGCATGACTGGTTTGAGGGTATTTTTCATGGGGAAACAAAAATAATAAATGCTAAAAAGCTCCAAAAAGTGGATTTTCCATGATATGGCCCCTTTAATGTGTTGGGTTTTTCCAACATGCCAATCTATTTATTCTATCATCAAAACAAAAAGGCAAGGAAGTACACATGAAATCATTACTACAAGGATAAAATAACATGTTTTGTTTCATGAACACTGAAAAGGGATGGGAAGTATTCCAAACTTATTTAGTCCACCCCTTCTTCTTAGCATGAATAATGATAACAAGTAAAGAAAACATGCAGAACACCCCTTCTGCAAGGTAAATGGGTATGACCTGAATCTGACGATTACCACCATGCCTGACTCTTCTTTTTAGCTGTAGCTACTACGGTAAGATCTAGCTATAGGTCTCCTTAGCTAGGCTTCCTACTTCCGTTATTTATGGGTATTTGTGAGTATTTCAGTTATTTAACCTCTTCTAGAGCAGGGGTGTTAAACTCAAACTCACAAGGGGCCGAAATGAAACTCTGGGACGGAGTCGAGGGCCAAACTTAATATTTTTTGAAAAAGTGACGGCAAATTTGCCCATTTTCTTCATCAACATATATGCAATTTTGAACCTTTAAATTTGGAAAACAAACTTATTTCTGCATTAACACTGAATGTGGAATAACCAAATTACACACGAGCAAGTCAGTTTTAAATAAAAGGCATCAGTGGTGTTCATTACTTGTGGTATAATCAGCATTTTTAAAATCTATTCAGGATTTATGTTTTCTTGTTTATTCATTTTTCTTATTTTTATTCTCCTTTTTTCTCCTGTAATACGTGTCATCGCTGCTGTGACGTCTAGCTTTCCCCACTGAGGAACAATAAAGGGATTTTCTATTCTATTCATCTATCTGCAGCCTTTCCACTTCCTGTTTACTGTAGGTTAAATCTTTTCTCACGGGCCAACAACAAAATAAAAATATCATTTTATCTTAAATGAAAATGCAACATCTCACCTGTTAACTTTCATGTTTTGGAGCAGAAAAAGAGCATCAAACCAACATATTTAAAGCTCAGTTTGCTCCACTGGTTTACTGTGATGCTCACCTGTTCCAGCCAGATACCTGCATCATGGGGTTGATCTGAGCTGAGGAGGAGACTCCTGTTGTTTTGTTCATCTTCATCATAATAATGACAACATTAGATGACAACAGGAGCTCACATAGGTTTGTGCTGATGAACATGTCTGAGCAGCTTGAGCACGTTGTTGTGTGTCGGGGAGGAAACACAACTACAGCAACCACAGAGTCGTGCTGGTTTGAGCGTGTCGCTGCTCGCTGGAGTTATATCAGCTCTGTCTGGACGTTAGTTGGAAAACTTTCTCTTTCAGTCGTGAACACATTACTGAGCGGCTAGAATCTCCGTTTCTGGGCTTCAACGTCAGAAAATAGCTGAGTGAACTCAGCACTGAGTGAGAGGAGTGTAGTTTGTCCGAGACAGCAAAGCATCATGGAAGTTGAAGTCTTTGCTGTAAAATCGGCCAGCGGGACAGTTTTAATATATTTTTGATATTTATCTCGCGGGCCACATAAAAATGCTCCGCGGGCCGCATCTGACACATGTTCTAGAGGATTGCATTGGTCTGGTCAACAAATACTGTGTCCTACTAATACTCAGACTATCACAGTCAGCTGTGGGTGAGATGGATTGATAGAAAGCAGGAGCTCAATGAGCAGCTTAGTGGTGTCATTAACCTCTAATAAGGAGAAAGAGCTAAAAGGAGGTAGAAAACGAGCCAAGAGGAGAAGACAGGTCAATAAAGTCATTATCAGCAGAGCAGGATCCACTCCCCTGACACATACACTGGTGATCCTGATGGAAACAGTTCAATAGCAGATATTCAGCATCAACTTTTCAGGTTTCACTCAGAACTCATAGATCAGTAAAAGTTCAATGAGCAGCAATATAAGGTTTGGTCACACTTGTTGGGTTAAGACTCCTCTCTCAAACGAAACCAACAACAGCATGTTTATATTTTTATACTTAGAATCTGAGATCTACTTGAAACATGTTTAGATTTTCCTTCTCAGAGTAGACCGTTTAGAAAAATAAATATTGTAACTGATTTGCTAATTTATTTACTTCATTTTTTAATTTTGTAAAACTTAAAACAGTGATCACCAACTAGTGGCCCGTGGGCTAGATCTGGCCCGAAACCCGCCAGAGTCCATCTGTCCTTACTTTATCTCACTCGTGTGTTTTCAGATCGTTTCAAAGAAAAAAACAACAACTAATTTTTCATGAATGTTGCCATAATTAAGTCTTAAGACACTTGGTGATTAATATATTTTTAAAATGTGGGGCTGATAAAGTGTTTTTACATGAAGAACAGCCTTTTCTGTCTTTTTTTTTTTTTTGCTGCAAGAATCAAACTGCACCTGTGGCGTCATGAAATTACAGGCTTCAGATTATTAACAGGTCTGCTTTTCCCAGGCTCTGCACTAATTTGTGCTCTTTGTAGCAGTCTGCTTTAGTCATTACATCAAATGTGGTGGTTGCAGCTGTGTTTGTGGATCAGAGCTGCATTAGGACCGACAAAACCCAAAGTAGACGTTAATTATGTTTCACAAACAGATGCAGATTTCCTCTTGACAGTGATTTAAGTTTTTACTGTATGAGGGATCAATGCATAGACTGAGATCTGTTATGACAGGTTATTATTTTCCCCTCCAGGTAAAACAAGTATTTCACTTACTGCTGCTTGTGGCTCAGCTCTGTCTCCTTGTTCACCAGGTCCTGCTTCAGGCTAGCTAGCATTTCCACAGAGACGTCCACCTGTCGAGAAAGCTCAGAGGCCTTGTCCTCCAGGTCTTGTTTCTCCTGGCTCAGCCGCTCACTCTCCAGCTTGGCCCGCTCCAGCTCAGAGCTCTTCCTCTCCAGCTCCGCCTGGAGACGACCTACACGGGCCGCTATTTTCTGCTCCACCTACAAGGCAAGAAGGAAAAAGATCTGATGTCCATCTCTAATCAATTCGCTGCATGAAACACCGCTGGTTATGTAGTTCAGGTCAGAAAATGAGATGAGGCAATAACCTGTCAGTAAATGTTTTATATGCACAATAACTAGATTTTAAACAGTTGGTACATAAAGATAAATACACAAAATTGTGTAGATGTTGACCTGAACATGTATCATACATACATTAATTATCTGAACTCCTGAGTAGGGTCAGCGGGTGCTGCTGCCCAACTCCAGCAGTCACAAAACAAGACGCACCTTAAGTTTCCAGTCTGTCACAGGGACACATGGTGACAAACATCCAATCACACACTGACTCATGCCTATAGGGGCAATTATGAGCCTGCAATTAACCAGAACATGCATACTTTTAGTTTGTGAGAGGACACCAGAGTACCAGGAGAAAACCCATGCATGCATGAAAAAAGCACGCCAACTCCACGCAGAAAGGCTGCAGCCGGGATTTGAACCTGCAACCTTCTCGCTGTGAGGTAACAGTGCTACCAACTGCATCGCCATGCAGCCTTAAAGCAGAAATCCAGAGGTTTTCTCAGAGGACACCATCTAGAGGTGTAAAAATGAGTTGCACCTTAAGCCACACTCCCTACTGTGATTATGGCTGGAAGAATGTGCTGGATTGACCAATATTCATCAAGCACCCTCAGATGATGAGGAATCACTTTGAAAATTCAGCAAACACCAACGGTCAAGCACACCGGGTCCACAATGAAGAGTTTCACATCATTATAAACTGACAGGACCCAAAAAAAGATGCATTCAAGTTGAAATGCCCACAAGGAAAAGACAACTGTGCTCTAAAAGATGTCTGAAGGAAAAATAACTGAATTATAAGGCTGCAATAACAATGAATTTCTCAGGTGAAGTCAAGACAGGCTTTCAACGCTGGACCAAGTGTCAGGCATGGTGGTGGAAGCATCATGCTGGGGTGCTGATGCACTGCACAAAGTAGATGGATTAATTTCCCCTGAATTCATAGGCTAGATGACTGAAATGTGGACACAGCTCAGGGTTTGAAGTATGGGGGAAATGAGGGAGCTTGGCTTCCCCGAAAGGGTGATCGGCTCCCCTGGAATCCCTCAACTGAGACACCCAAGGTGGTGTCCGAAAAATGATGCTGTCCTTATTTTTAATGGGGGAAAAAAACAGCCTGGGGACAAATGGTCTTGAACAATTAAAACATGATTAATCAAGATTAATTAATTACAAAGTTTTACAAAGTTTGGTCAGTTTTGAGTGTTTTCTAAAATTTTACTTAAATCCCAGAACTGATACGGCCTCCGTGGCCCTGATGAGTGTATGGGAACCTCTGACAGCAACTGCATTGTTCTTTTTTGCTAGCCATAAAAACAGCTTGGAGGCAATTATTATTCACTCTATAACCCCTATGATTAGGAAATACATGTCTGATTGCAATTACAGCGACGCTAACCTCCTAACAGGCCCCATCTCAGCTGTTCTCAGGTGGTCACCTGTAAAAGTGTAGCTCCCGTCTCACATTCAGTGTGTGGCTCTAAACAGCCGTCATTTTCTCTCTGCTGCTGAGGGTCTTAGAAGCAGAAAAGTGTCAAGAAGAGTGCTCTTGTTAGTTTAATGTCCAAGCTGAAGACAACGGGGGATAAGTGTTTCCCCTGATTGCTTCGGTACAGTACAATTACCCCTCTCTAGAAATCAAGCTGACACTGTGAGGAAGTACATACGCACCAGAGTCAGGATCTTAAACACTTCTTCTTGATGAAGTTGATTCTGATAACAACAGTGATCCAACTCACCTCCTCAGACAGTTTCTCCAGCCTCTCATCCAGCTCCAGCCGTTCAAACGCCCGCGCTTTCAGCCTAGCCAGGCCCTCCTCATAGGCTGCCTCCACAGCACTAGCTGCCACATTAGCTGCCACAGCTACAGCTGTGTTGGGGCTTCCATGGGGATCCGTGGATGCCATTGCTTTCTTCATAAAAAGCTCCCCCAAGGGGAACTCCACATTTGGAATACACCTGGCTGCTGAGTTGGAGTTAGCCGGGGCCAAACTCAGGTCGTCTGGACAAGGAAGCTCCCGGCAGGGAAAGCGCCGCTCGTTTAGAGCTGAAGGGCGAAGCGGCTCAAAAGGGTCGTTGTTGTTGGCGGGCGTGAGGAGAGCTCCCTCGGCCACTAGGGGCAGCAGAGCAGCAGCGTCGCACACACTGTTGGACTTGGAGAGGACGTAGAGGGTCTCATACGTGTGGTTATACTCCAGATGGGCGCGTAAGGATGACAGGCTTCGGAAGCGCTTGTGCTCCCCGCAGCGAGGACAGCGGTAGGGCAGGTCCAGAGAGGCCATTCCGTGCAGCAACCGCCGGAGGAGAGGGGGCGCTCACGCAGCACGGCCGCAGCGCCAGTATGAGGGCACAGTGGTCAAACACCTGTTGGATCCTGTTATGGCTGGAACAGGACAAGTGTGGTAGTATGAGGAGGAGAGGGGATCTTCTGCCATAGCTGCTTCTCCCGAGGTCCTAAACCAAGAAAGAAAATATATTAGATTTAAGTTTCTCAGGTGAACATAAAGAAGGCCTATTTCAATAAATAAATCTGGTCTCTGGAATGAATGCATGCCTTGTGAGTCGTTCTCTGTGGCAAAAACAAAAGCTCTGGCGCTCTGCCAGGGGTGGGGTAGGGGTGGGGTGGCAGGATTTAAAGTCTTACTCATTGATATTCATGACAAGCAAAGGCCTTGCCTCTGATTGGCTAACAGCAATGCAACTCTTCTGCTGCCTTTCTTTGTTCTTCTTTCTTGGGTAAAAAATGGCAAATGGCCTGTATTTGTATAGCGCCTTCTTAGGGTTCTACAACACCCCCCCCCCCCCCCCCACCCCCAACGGCCCTAACACAATCAGTCATTCACCCATTCACACGCTGGTGGAGTAGAGCTACGATGTAGCCACAGCTGCCCTGGGGCACACTGACAGAGGCGAGGCCTGCTGAACACTGGCACTGACCCCGGGTTTCCACGGGAGCCGTCAGCAGCACGTTACTGCAGCAGCACGTCTTGCTCACGTAAGCTGCTGCTTGGCCCTTCCCACGAGACGGGAAGCAGCGGTCACCGACCGAGCACGAAGTCACACGAGTGACTTCGTCAGTAAACACAACAACAAGCAGGAGAAAACTACAACATGGCTCCAAAAGGTTTGTGTTTTATGTTCTGTCCGTTTTATAATCGCCAATACGGACCTGAAAAACAAAGGAGACCGCTAGCTAGGTGATAACTTCTCACGGGGCCGCACATTTTTAAAAGTAAAGCAACCGGAAGGCAGTACGTTTCTTTATTCCGAAAATCTCGGTAGCTTCTCTCCATTTCCGTGTCCGATTTCCTGTCTTTCCTTCCACAAAAATGTCGAACTTGACCCGTTTCAGAGGCGTCGCGCGTAGAAAATAGAACCGGCGCGTAAAGGCCGCGACATGCTGCTCCTGAGACGCGGCCGACTCGCGCTGCTGACGGCTCCAGTGGAAAAGGTTCTGTTGACCACAGCGGTTCCTATCAGCAGCTATGACGTGCTGCTGCAGTAACGTGCTGCTGACGGCTCCTGTGGAAACCCGGGGTAACGGTCCCTTGACCAACACCAGCAGGTAAGGCGGGCTGCATGGTGGCGCAGTTGTTAGCACAGTTGCCTCGCAGCAAGAAGGCTGCAGGTTCAAAACTCAGCTGTGGCTTTTCTGCGTGGAGTTGCGTGTTCTCCCCATGCAAGCGTGGGTTTCCTCTGGGTACTCCGGTTTCCCCCACAGATCACAACATGCCCTATGTCACTTTGGATAAAAGTGTCTGCCAAAATATAAACATAAACATAAGTGTCTTGCCCAAGGACACAAGAGCAGCATTCTCTGGTCGGAGCCGGGATCAAACCTGCAACTTTCTGATTACTGGACCTCCTGAGCTACTGCTGTCCCCAAAAAATGCAATGCTGATGTTTTATCTCCACAAATAACACAACCCTGAAGAAGTTCTGCCATGTTGTGGAGTTGCTAATGCTAACACTTAGCTTCTGCGTGCTCTGCACTCTCCTCGACCCTAAATCAACAACACCCTTTCCCATCGTGAGCCAAGATGGTTAAGAATGCAAACCTTACTCTGTGATGTAAATCAGAAGTGTTATTTTTTTTCTTTTGACAGCTAATGCAGGAAATGGGATAGAAAACTATGTTCCCATTCGCCATGCCTGTGAAACTCAGAATGACCGATCGTCTTTCAAAAATAATAAGTACTAAACGTGTCTCAGTGAATCTTCTTTGTAATACCAGCTACTCTGGCTAATTTGTTGAGGTGGTGCCATAATTGGCAGTATTTCTGTTTAAAGGTCTAGATAACCTGCATGTTAACCTAACACTTTGGTAAGGATTTTCCAGGTAGGAATCTTAATTCTTACTTTTTTTTTTTTTTTTTACTCAGAAGAAACTTTTTACTTTTGTGAAAAGGTAAGAATACTTTTATGTTTGGAACCGTACTTAAGGCAAGAGTTTATTCTGCTGTAGCACAGGTATGGATTATAGGGGCTAATTCACTTTTGCTAGTTTAATTTGAAAGGACAAAGTTTAACATTCAATAATGAAAAATAATTTAACTTTAAAGTAGACCTCCAGTTACTGATGGGTTAGAGGTAAGCTGACCTTAACCCTCCTGATTGTTTTCCATAGAAAATCCCTAACTAGTTAGGGTGGCATATATAAAGTGCATTTTTGGCTAGAGGCAGGTGATAAAAATACCTGCAGGCTAAAACGTTTTTTTGTCTCCAGAAATTCTTTACTGCTGCTACATTTTTCTTCTATTTGTTCATCTGCTGACAGGAACTCAATAGATTTTTCCCCCCAAGAACACGGACGTAACATCTAATAAAATCTAAAAGTAGAAAACTGTAGCACCTTTACCTACTGGTGGAGATTTTAAAAAACAGCACATTTTAATGTTTAAATGCATTTATGTAAAAAGTATAAAACTAAAACTGACCTGTTAATTTACAGCAACAAAAAATGACACTGATGAGGTAATTAACTGTGCCAAAGTGTCAAACTCAACATGGACTCCAAGCAAAACATTTTACTTCTGACCATAATAATAACCAGTCCATGATTTTCATGTTTTACTATAAAGGAATAATGATCTACATGCTAGAGGTGAGGTAACAAGAGTCTGTCAGTAAGGTTAAGGCATGCTCCTGCACATTTGAGCTCCCTGATGTAGTCAGAATAAGACAAGAGAAGAGTCGGGGAATGGAAATGGATCCATTAGTGAGAGTGCTTGCTGCTGCAGATGTCATTTTCCAGCCTTAAGCCGACCAGGTCAGACGGGGAAATGTTAACACGGGGATCTAGTAACCCACATTAGATGGAAAATACTCCACTAGCCGAGCCTGAGCCTCCTCCTTCAGCTCTTTCTTCTGCACTTTATTAAGATGCTGCATTACATGTGATGCCCACAGACAGCAATATGTGCTAACCTCTAAACTAATTAAGCAATATCACATGAGAGGGAGTGCGTTGTTGCTGAATATCAGCATGGGTGTGATTCGGTCGTAGACACGAGGCCGCAGCCCGAGTGCCGTAGATAATCACACCCGTGCTGATATTCAGCAACAACGCACGACCTCGAGTGTGATATTACTTTTATACAACAGGTCAACCTGCTCATTTTATTTTTATAAACAATAAGCAACAACAGATTATGAATTGTTCATTTATTTAATCATTTATCAGGCTCCGCCAACACAAATAGTCCCAACACGAAACAGAGACTCAGACTAGGCTGTTGCTAGGTAACAAACATTTTCTACAAAGCACTGTGACTTTACTTTGTATCATTTACGATTATCTGAATGTTTCCGTGTGAGCCATTTGAAAACATTGTTAGCTGGTATAAACTCTGGGTCCTGCATTAAATTCCACGAGCGGCTCACCGGCGGCTCCAATCCCGCCCGAAGTCCGAGGTAGCAGCTGATGCTGTAGAGCTCGCCTTTAGCTGTCCGGACCGAGCCATAAAACACCCTTAACACTGTGTTCAGTCTTCTTAACTTGCTGAAAGTTCACTTGGATATTTTTGAGATTGAGCCACGTCTGAAAGCAGTTCAGAGCCCAGGCTGTCTGCCTCACAGTATTGACTTCATTTTTGCTCTTCTAATTCGTCGAGGTCCGCTGTTGACATGTCAGCACACCTGGTTTGCGCTGATGTATTCGGTCCGCTTTCTGTCCCTTCAGTGCCAGAGTCTGATGACCATTCATGTTGTAGATCGAATGTTATCTGAGGAAACATGTCCATATTTGCTGTGCGAAGTCGGACAAAATCCAAGAATTAACGGAAGTAACGTTAATGATTAACTGAGAACACCTGCGCACAGCGGAGTGATACTGTTTGTAAACAGTCCCAGTGCTGTTACAGTCCAATATCAGCACTCTTGGAAAGTCTCTTGACCAATCAAATCACTCGATCGGAACTAACTGTTGTATAAACATGCAATTTAGTCACTTTTGCATTCATAAAACATCAGTTTGTTATATTAGACTTATTTTAATCTTCATAATTTTGAACACAACGCAGCATCAATCCAGCCAGAATGTTTGTTTATCCAGATTTCATAGCTCCCTTGTAGAAAAGTAAGAATTCAGCCCACCAGCATCTATTGATTCTTCTTCACAAAGTCTAATTTCTGATCAAACACCAGCTGTGACAATAAAACCTGGGCTCTTTTCTGCAGTAAAATGGATATCTCAGTAAAGTGTGCTTCCAAACAATATCTGTGACAGGATACAGAATTATAGAAGAATTTATGTTATAAACTTGATCAGTTTAGCCACCAGTCTAGGATGCTATTTGTTCGACAAGCTCTTAAGGTTAGAGCATAAAAGCCAGCAAACAAGAGAAGGTTTAGGGTGACTGGATTGAGTTTTGTGTCTTCCAACATGCTGCAGTAATAAACAGCATGTTGTTATTGTAGCTGCAAAAAGAAATCTTATGTATTTAGAAAATACCAAATTTGAAAGTAAAAGTTTAATTTTACACAATTCTCTACGTGTGACTGCAGACATGTTTAGATGCAAAGCAAATACAGCGTGAGGTTGGTCTCAGTAAAAGCAGGTAACAGAAACTGAGTATTTCATGTCCAAGAACAAAAAGACAACATATTTCCAGAGCTTGGACCATTTTATGGTGCCGTTTTCTGCCAAAAAGACGAAAAGGTCCCTCAACTGTTGCCTGAGTAGTAAATCATCAACTCTGTTGTTTTTGTTTAACATTATGCCATTTGGATTCTTATAACTGGGTAGAAAACAACATCCAAGACTGAAGACAGGCTCCAAAGTTTGTATTTTTTCTGTCTCAGAACGTTCTACAGCAGCTGCTGATGAGGGAAGCAGCAGGCGCTGAGGGTTTAATGACAAATCACAGATGCAGGCCATTCGTCAGACTGGGCACACACACTGGAAATCAAGAGTCTGTTATTAGAAGTCTGGTGGAGCTGGTACTGGCAAGTCA